TATCCGATCCACTGTTTAGATCTAATAATCTAGGATAGCCCCTAATTTGATTCCAAATTCCATGCGTCATGACAATGTATAAAAATTACTAACGCTTTCCTTGGTCATGCCCTCTTTTAGGGAATCTTCAGACGCCCGCTGCAAGGTTTTGTGCTTATATGGTAGTACTTATGTGGGGAGACTTATCGACCCATACATAAGAGGCTTTTAGAACACAGAACCACTTGCAAAAGTTTATGGATTCAGAAATTGGAGGTAGCTAAACATGTCACTACAGGAAATCATATAGTGGTTTAATTTCCAACATTTGCAGGATATGGGGACTTTACAGCTAAGCTAAAGATCAGGATATCGACAGAAATTAACAAAATAAAGAACATTCTGAATAAGGCGGACGAATGTATGAAATTTAGTAAGAACTACCTCTTGCTGCTAAATAGAATAAGAGAGAGAGAGAGAGAGAAAGAAAGAAGGAAAGGGAACAGGAGTCTGTTTTTGGAACCAAAATTGCCAACCAATTCGTGGTTGTTGCATACACGCACGAACACGCATCTACGAAGCAATAACACGCCTCAGGAGTACAGGATTATACGATAGTTTTTTTACATAGACAAAAGTTGGTGCCACATTCGCTATCCTTCCTGCATCACTTTCACTCGCTTGCATGCATGTAGGACAAGCATAAAACAACCAACCATTTCGTGGAATGTCTCATTAGGATCGCAAATTGAGGTATATCTCTCAGCTGGTCACCTTTCTTTGCTTAGTATTTTTGGCGATTGCTCGTGAATACTGGTCCTAGCTCTGACGATGTCCGTCACATGGACGAAAGTTCAACGCGGAGTCATCGGGTTCGTAAGACGGTGAGCCAAAGTCTTCTCCGCACTATTCAACAGACAAAAGTCTAAGGCAACAATCTTTCGATATACGGTGAGGCCAATCTTCGAATGCCTTCCACCTGCCTTCGCCTACGAATGGCAAGGTATGTCAGTATGAAAAAACATAGACCTTCTCTTATGTCCTGACTCTGCTCCCGCACGTTATCTATTAAAATATGGGTGAACTAGTAAAGTGATAGTTAATAAAATGAACTTCAACACAACTTTGACACTTTTTTTCGATATTCTACAATAAATAGCTAGTCGAAGTTGTTATTATTATGAGTAATATGAGATGTATTCACCCTATTTCGTTCAAGGTGATGAAGTTCTGGTATAAGAATTTTCCCACAATGATGTGAGTAGAGCTGACGTTTCCTTTGAATTTCACACAGCCTTGCCTTCCCAAAAGTTGTTCTTATTCAGGGTAGACTGCAGTTTCGACCTCGCCTAGGCCTTATCAACATCCCCAGCCGGATTCGAACCATGACAGTGCATCACCTTAGCTCGACACTTCATGGTTCGACTCCCGCTGGGGCTGTTGATAAGGCCAATGTGAAGTTGAAACTGCAGTCCGCCCTGGATGAAAACAACTTTTGGTAAAGCAAGGCTGTGTGAAATACAATGGAAAAGTCAGCTCTACTCATAACATTGTAGAAAAATTCAACTACCAGTCATTCATCACCTTAAACGAAATATGGTGAATACATCTCATATGACTGATTTACTGGTATTCGCGAAACTCTGCTCATAAACGAAAAATAGGATTATTATTATCATTAGTTGTGAATTCTAACCTTTGCCTGCTGAGCATTTATTTCTGACCTAGACAGTGGATTTCAATAAAATATTTCTATGTAATCATCATCTTCTTGCCGAATAATAGGAAAAATCTGTTGAGCCATTTTAGTCCTCGAAACAAACCAGGTTCTGCGCAATTTAGCGGCAGGCCGAAAGTGCCTTGTTTTGATGTGAAACGAGCCGTTGTGTACTTTAGCCTACCAGGCCAATATTTTCGCTATTCTCTTTTTGGATATGCATCTCCCTGCTCCGCCTGGCATTTCGTCAGTAGAATGGGGCGAAATTTTATTTCTTGCTTTCATAATTATGATGAATTGTTAAATAGCCAACCAAGACAGTGAAAGAGGTGACTCCGATAAAATAGGAGCGGAAACTATAAAGTAGTCGGAAAATACTCAAAAACTGGCTACTTTGCCAGCCAATATAGGAAAAAAATTTGTTATATAGTTTTAGGCTTTGTTTATTTATTTTTGGACAGTTTCCCATCACTGGGTTGTAAAGAAACTCTACACTTTAATGAGATCAAGTCGGTCTCCTATTGTCGTGGTGTCACTACGGTCCCAGATACTTAATGCGTCTGTAATGATCAGATTTTTGTTAACTGTCCGTCTTAACTAGTCGCTTAAGTGTAACCTGAAAACTGGCGAATACTGTATTTGTGCGTACATGAACGAACAGTAAGCTGGCGGAGGCTGGTATATACTATTAGCCTCGGCTCCTTTATAAATGAGAACCGCAAAGACGTGATTCCGGTAGAATTGATGGGCCGAATGATACAAAACAGTGTGGAAGTAAGATGAGGTGGCCCATAAATGGGATAACTTGTGAGAGTAATAAGTTAAAACAAACACTGAAGCAGAGCATAGCGTTGATGAGTTGACATGCTACACGACGGTTAATCGACTGGCATGATGGAGCAATGACACACAAAGACATACTCACGTGGGTCATCTGCTTACCTGTTGTAGACGTTTATGCGCAACGGTTGTACCGTCCGACTACTCGTGTACACATTACTGCCCTGTCGGCTGCCGGTATCCAGATTGGCCCAACCCATGTCCTGTACACTTTCTCCAGTCCCGTATATGGTCGGCCCTGTGCTGGAGCTGTACCGTTTGACCGGTTGAACTCGTGTCACGCTAGAATAGGCCGAGCCCGGCTCGCAAATACGCATAGTGGTTGAATATTGTGGTCGGTACGTCGGCCGAGAGACATGACCTGGCGCTGTGGGGACCAAATGCATCGTCTGAGGCAACCGGTGGGCCAGGCGACAACGATAGGTTTTGGGTTTGGGATGAATTACGCGTAGAAAGAGAGAGGACAAGGCACAGAAAAAGGCAGTGGTAGTTAAAAACTTTGCTAGAAAAAGTTGGGTTTCGAGGAATCTCTTTTTCATAATCGCTGTGCTTACTTCCATTTCGAGTAAAAGTGTTTGACAAAGAGGTTCCAAGGTCGATCCCATCACAAGACGACAGTGCATTCCTCTTGACCAGCTGTCGATTGGCTTTACTTGAACATTCTTGTTGACGCTGTTTCCGATGTAATCTTCTTCGATTCCGATGAAAACGTGCTAGCCTTTTATCCGTCATATGACGAACATCATCAGGGCAAGGTATCATCCTTACAACCAAATTCAAGCTAACGAGTCAAGAAAACTCACCGGCTTATCCCTAAAAAGCTGTACATACACTGTATATATGATTTGTTTGATGAGGGGTATAAAATGATATGGTTAGTACCAGTCATATTTTAACCTCGGAGCATATCTGTATGTCTGTCTCTGTATGTTTAGGTGCCTGCGTGTGTTCTCATATGAACGAAACCAGTAATGATGATACCTTTCCCTGATAATGTTCGTCATATGACGGATAAAAGCTTAGCACATTTTCACCAGAATCGAAGGAGATTACATCGGTAACAACGTCAACAAGAATGTTCCAATAAAGCCAATCGACAGCTGGTCAAGAGGAATCCGCCGTCGCTTTTTGGTGGGATCGACCCTCTAATATTTTCACCAAACACTTTTACTCGAAATGGAAGTAAGCTCAAAAGTTAAATACTTTGCTTGTTTTCAAAAGTGGAAGAGGGATTAACTGACAAATACGCCTATTTGTGACTTGTTGACTATTCTATTTGTTTTAACTTCGGTTGAACTGGCATTCCATGACTGCCGATACCAATCCTAAGTCGTTTAAGGTGATTTAAGGCTTGAGTGTTGAGCCCTTTCCTAACTTCACGTGGCTTTATGAAATGTGTTCACCCTATTTCGTTTAAGGTGACTACGGACTGGTAGTTTAATTTTCCCACAATGATATAAGTGGGTCTTAGGTTTACATTGAATTTCTCATAGACTTGCTTTTCCAAAAGGTATGCTCATCCATGCTGGAGTGGACTGCTATTTTGAACTCGCCTAGGTCTTATCAACAACCCCAACGAGACTCGAACCATGACAGTGCCGCATATAATCCCTACACTTTAACCACTACACCATATTGACACGAATTCCCCTTGAGTCACAAAAGGAAGGCCAGGCATTTTCCTATACTCCATTTTGTGGTGGGATTGTCGATAAAGCAAACTTACATTTGCTATAGCCATCAACTTAAAAACGTACTCAAAACGAAAAAAAATCACTTAGATCTGCCTACTAAAAGGTGTTTTTATTCAGACAGAAATGCCGTTTGAATCTCGTCCCGGTCTTTTCGAACTTAAAACT